GAGCCAGCGCGCTGCTGGGAGGTCATCAGAAGTTCTGACTCAGATCCGCTGCCAGATGATCAACCTGTTAGTGAAACTGGATGAGTCAGAACTTCTGACTTTAGCACCTGCAAAACAGAACCTTGTTAGTGGGGAAATCAGAAGTTCTGATTTCCCTGCGCTGCAAGACAGAAGTTTGTTAGTGGAGAAACCAGAAGTTCTGATTCTGCTGAAAAGACAATAACTCTCAGAGGTTCTGATATCATTGACAGCAAAACAGGCTTTAGATGTGCTAACGTCAAAGTCAACACTTGGCTTTTCCCTGTACTAATCAGAACATCTGCAATTCTGTTGTTACTCCACAAAACAGGAAACATATTTGGAATAGATCCAGCAAATACAAAAATGTTCCAGAGGTCAGAATCACCAAGGTCACAGGCAAGTCCTATACTGGCTCAGAACGTTCTGAGGTATGAAAATCCTCAGAACATAAACAACAACAACATGATATTTACATTATGTTATTTGAATATGCACAGCTGATGATGCTTAACAGCGTGATGAGGGTCAGCAGGTGCTTACCTGACTGTTGGGAAAGTTGTGGGTGAAGGTTTAGCTTCTGGTTCTGGTGGTGTTCTGGACAGATTTTCTTTGAAAAATGGGAAGTAAAGGTGTATACGTATGCAGGGTCAGAAGTTTGGAAAGGGTGTCTTTGGTTTACAGAAAAAAACTGGATATTTGATGAAGTTGAAGGTGAGAAACTCAAAGTTATGAAACAAAACTGGAGATTTTGGCAGAGTTTCAGAACGTTATGTTGCTAAGGGTTGTTGTTTCTCTCTTAGCAATTTCTGTTTCTTTTTTTTTGAACGCCTTTTGCAGTGGTGAAGCCTCTCTATTTATAGGCAAAGTTCTTGTGGATGCCTTGAACATTTAAAGCACCAACAGAGTTTGAATTTGTTCTTTGACAGAAATTCCTGGGAAGTTGTGATACAGATAGCTTTCAGCCTAGGTTGCAGCAGCAGGCGTAGATTGGGGAGAAGTGACCTCTGAAGTGGGCGGTGGCGTGAAGACCTATGCCAGAATCTATGCAAAAGCGTTTTCCAAGCCACACGTGAATGCTCAGGAGTGGTTGGAAGCATTAATGGGCATTAAATGGTTACAAGACCTATCAACATCAACGTTCTGGTAATGGAAACCAGCGTTGAATCAGCAGCGTAAACCATGCTCTGGCCTTGGCTACCTGTTGTCTTAGTAAGCTCTGGAAATTCTCCTGGTTTTCTGGTACGTTCCTTGGATTTACTTCTGGACAATCTGGACTTAGAGATTCTGTATCAGTGTAACACCCATTCTTCTGACCTTTCAATCTTCTGATTTCAACCTGTTCTGAAGGAGCCTTCAGACTTTCCTGCTTCTCTTGCATTCCTTTAGCAAATTCTGACTGAGCTTGTGTAACTGCTGAAGGGGCATGTTCTGTTTGAGGCTTACATTCTGAACCACGTTTACAACTTCTGATTGAACTGATGTAGCTGCTGAAGAGCCAACTTCTGACCACGCTGAGCCAAGCTTGCAACTTCTGAACGTCTTCATCTGGAATGGGTCCAGAAGTTCTGAAGCGCTGATTTTTCTAAAAACACTTACTTTAGAGAAGCATTCTAAGTACTTAGAATTTGATTTTTCTCAAGATAAAAGTGTTGTTTCTGGAGTTCGTGAGATCATCTTGCTCTTGTAAGCGGCTTGCTTGGGCAAAGGGATAACTCAGGACTTGGATTTGTTTCAGAGGGACCTTGAAAATTTAAGATGGTTTCCTGAAGAAAGGGGGGGGCAAATTTTGGGGTACAACATTGCGCATCCTCTTTGGTGCAATGTAAGTGTTGAGATTCTGCTCTTCATGGAGTCGACGGGTAAGTTCCAAGACCTTCTTCTCACTGGCATAGAAGCTAGCTTCAAAAGTATTTCGTTCTTCCTTGATACTTGTCCGTATCTTCTTTCAATACTCGTCCGTATTGATTCAAACACTCGTCCGTGTTTAACTTTTGATACTCACATGTATCTCCTTTAAATACTCGTCCGTATTGAATCAAACACTCGTCCGTGTTTAACCTTTTGATACTCGTCCGTATCTCCTTTCAATACTCGTCCGTATTGATTCAAACACTCGTCCGTGTTTAAACTTTTTGATACTCACCTGTATCTTCTTTCAATACTCGTCCGTATTGAATCAAACACCCGTCCGTGTTTAAACTTTTGATACTCGTCCGTATCTTCTTTAAATACTCGTCCGTATTGAATCAAACACTCATCCGTGTTTAACTTTTGATACTCGTCCGTATCTCCTTTCAATACTCATCCGTATTGATTCAAACACTCGTCCGTGTTTAACTTTTGATACTCGTCCGTATTGATTCAAACACTCGTCCGTGTTTAACCTTTGATACTCGTCTGTATCTTCTTTCAATACTCGTCCGTATTGATTCAAACACTCGTCCGTCTTTAAACTTTCTTGATGCTCGTCCGTGTCGCTTATCTAAAACAATCATCATGTCATAACCCATGTTTCCTTCGTCGAACCTGAGATCGCCTCTTGGCTAGGTTCTTCCTTCAAATCATCGTCGAACCTGAGATTGCCTCTTGGCTAGGTTCTTCCCTTAAATCATCGTCGAACCTGAGATCGCCTCTTGGCTAGGTTCTTCTTTCAAATCATCGTCGAACCTGAGATTGCCTCTTGGCTAGGTTCTTCCCTCAAATCATCGTCGAACCTGATATCGCCCCTTGGCTAGGTTCTTCCTTCAAATCACCGTCGAACCCGAGATCGCCTCTTGGCTAGGTTCTTCCTTCAAATCACCGTCGAACCTGAGATCGCCTCTTGGCTAGGTTCTTCCTTCAAATCACCGTCGAACCTGAGATCTCCTCTTGTCTAGGTTCTTCCCTCAAATCATCGTCGAACCTGAGATTGCCTCTTGGCTAGGTTCTTCCTTCAAATCATCGTCGAACATGAGATCGCCTCTTGGCTAGGTTCTTCCCTCAAACCTTCGTCGAACCTGAGATCGCCTCTTGGCTAGGTTTTTCCCTCAAGTCATCGTCGAACCTGAGATTGCCTCTTGGCTAGGTTCCTTCCATATACTTTGTCCTAGAACCTGAGATCGCCCTTTGGCTAGGTTCTCTGTCAAATCACTCTCATGTGTCACCTTAGGATCGCAGATCACCCGTAGACCTCGTTCGCTGTCTTTTCATACCAACCATTTGTCTTGTATTGGCGTCGCTCCATGTTACAAGTTCAATCTCTGTCCCTTCATTGAAAAAACAAATTTCTTTTCCCCAGCAGATAACACAAAAATAAATAAAGAAAACACTTACTCTTTCTCCCTCAGGACAAATTTTTTGGCATTGATATTTAATCATCTTCAACCTTGAACTTCCGAAAGGCATGTGCCAATCGTACTTTCAGGTTTAAGACGATTAAATAGGGGCAGCTGTAATACCCCAAATTTGTCCTACCCTTTTACTTCCTATCTGGCTTACGCATTTTTGCATTTTTCTCACATATATAATTTCCATTAGGTCATCTAACACATCATGCATCATTAATCAATAAATTGACATAAGATCATGGATTTTGAGGAATAAGGGTTGGTGTATGGCTTTAAGGCTCTCATCTTCGCACAAGCTTGTTTCGGTTGATTTCTCCATTAATAATTTGTTTGAAGCTAGGGTTTTATTTTCTGGACTTCTTTATCATTAAACTACAGGGGTATTCTTTCTTCTCGACATCAAGTTGCGATCTTTCTTCAAGGATTAAGAATTAGGATTTTTCGTCCATTATGCTTCAACTGGGGGTCATTAGATTAAGGCTCAATCTCGTGGTTATCTTGAGCCTCTCTTTCTCTAAACATTGTGGACTTCTTTTTAGTGATACAATTTTTGGTTCTCATCAAATACTTGCCGCTTCAATTGTGAGTCATCCTAAGGCTATCTCGAAAGGCTGCAAGCTTAAGCAGTGAGGAACATCGTCTTATACTTATCACCTTCACATGAATGATGATTTATTTCCATAATCATGTAGACTTCAAAAGGGGTTCCATGTGTATTTATTCTTCAATAAATTTCAAAGGGGTTCTATAATTACTTAAAGTGCAAATGGTTGAAGATTTTGATATATCCATGGCCATTAAGATCTTGTTCAAGGATGCTTCAATATGTCATACAAAAAGGTTATCATATAAGAAAATCGTATCTTTTACGAGTTAGTATTTCAAATGGGCCTTTCTTCATCAAATGAGGTTTAGCTATTCCTTGTATGTTCACGAGCTCTAGGCAAGAGAAGAAGATTCAATGGGATACTATTTGCAAATTGGAATTTTGTACACTTCATGATGCAAAGCTTTTTGTCGGGTCTATTCGCTTACTTGTGATATAATATGCTTTGGGGGACTTCATTTCAGAATACATCAAGATCAAAATCTAAAGCTTCTTCAATTATAGTTTTGAAGTGAGGATTAAGAAAGATGCGAGGCTCGTTCGTTCATTTGAAGATGTTTAGGCATGCTTTCATTCAAAAGTAAAGAAACTCGGCAATACAAGATTGTTATTGGCAAAGGCTCTTATCAAATTCATATCACAACCATGGAGTTATATGTAACACAAAATTAAAAGATCTTGGAGATACAAAAGACAATTTGGAAAAGAAGACTACTTGGAATATTTGGGCTTCATCATTAAAATTCAAGGGTTCACATTCATTCAATGATATGATCTTTACAAGTTCTAAGCATTACGCATGATTTGTCAAAGGGTTATCCAAATTCATTCTCGTTCATTCGAGGTCATAACCATGCAATTTACAAGCGGTGTCATTAGAACATTACAAGAGAAGATTTCAAAAGGCCGTTTACATCCAAGATTACTAAATACACATCAGAATTCACATTAAAATACTCATAGTCTACATATACTAAAACCTAAGGCTCTAAGCTTTACATTTTTCTAATCTTCGTAACCATTCGCGTATTCTTCATAATCAATCTTCATGCCTCATCCAGATTCGCGACTAACCACCTCAGCATTACTCCAGCCAGTTCATTCCTGCCATAACCACTCCATAACTTGTAACAGAAAATCAAGAAAACTTCAAACAGAAAACCGAACTAACTGTCAAACAACACATAACAGAACTCAACTGAAACCAAAAACTTCTAACAGAATTTTCCCTAACCATTCTCTAAAGGCAGCCCTGCACATAAATTTTATAACAAAGTAACTTACAGCACCATAATCTATAACTAACTGCTAACTGATTTCTTCATTAACCAACCAAAACTAACAGTTCATAACTAACTTCTCAAACTCCTAACAGAATTCTATAACCAAGCAAACCATAACAACTAACAATCCTAATGCTTACCTGGCCATAACTAACATTCAGTAACCAACTGCATAACAGAATAACAAACAGCCTAACTAACTTCTCACCAATCCTAACTGTAACAAACTTCCAGCATAAGAATACACATATAACAGATGGCAGAAAAATTCATTATATAGATACGATTCAACAACCCAGAAAAGTCATAGAAAAATCTCAAAAGAAAAAAGTTCATCTCACCTTTTTTCGCATCGTTCCTCAATCCACCATTCCTTTTACATCTTCATCCAACCGCAACAATTTGCTGCAACCTCAATCATTATCTGAAACTCGTCTCCTATATTCATCTTTCTCGGTAACTTCAATTACCATCATCTTCATCACTTCTTGGCAAACAGAATTGTAGCATCTCAGAAAACCTTTGCGCTTCTCCTTTCTGAATCTTGAACCACAAGAGTGATTCATCATCGTTCAGCATCACCATCAACAACGATTCATGATTCGTTCATCATCACCATCAACAATTCTTCGGCTTTAACGCATAACACAACATCATCGAGCATCAGCAACATCATCGAGCATCAGCAACAACAACACATAACGGCACCTAAAAAAATGCAAAAAGTAGAGGGTGATTCAGCCAAGAACTTGTTATCTATGTTAAGGAAGGATAAATCGGAGATGGAGGAACCACAGATTCTGAGCGAGTTTGAATCGAAGATTACGAAAATTCTTTGTGATGTTGGAACGACGGAGATGGAGGATCGCTCTGAATGGCGATTAAATCAACGTTGAACTGGAGCAATCGCGAATGATGACGAACGGAAGAAGAAGGCGACGGAGAGAATAGGGGCGGCGTCGTTCAAAGCTTCGTGAGGGAGATGAAGATGCGGATTCTCTCTTCTAACCATATTTCCCATTTTAACTTCAATATTCTCATTTTCATTTTTTATTTTTATTTTATTTTTTAGTAATTCTGAACTAAATATAACTAAGTAAAATAAAAAATAAATTTGAATGGAAATGCTGAATGAGATCATGGACCGAAACTGCATGGCATTAGGCCCGTTTTTTTTCCAGCCTGAAGCCATTACTGCAACAAAAATTTCTATTGGATTCATTTATGAACTGGGCCTAGCACCCTTATTAAGCCACACACTCTGAATTCAGCTTGTACCCCCTGATTCTTCTAATTTTTCTTTTTTTATTATTTTAGTTTTCTTCTAGTTTAATTTTCTCTCTCAATTGATAATAAAATGATACGAAACAATAGAATATTTTAGAATTCTTTGGAATTTCTTTTAGAATTTTAATTAGAGTTGTTTTACTATTTTATTTTTCATATTTGGTAATCATTTTTATTGCCATTTTTTTAGTCAAGATTTTTGTGATAGCATCGATATAACTCTTGCAATGTGGAATGCTCGGGGTAAAATCTTCAATCACTCGCCCAAGGAAACTTTGATAGAATTTTCTTACCGCTTGCACAATTTTGAAGAGGCAACGGACCTTCTCCGTTCGGTATCGTCACAACTCTATTTTATTCTTTATTTCGGTACTTTATCACAAACCATATGCGTGCTAACATTAGGTAGAATTCCCTCATTCATTCCAACTTTAGGGCTAACAACGCACGATAACATCAGGTTTAGAAATAGGCTACCCTTTAACTTTTCTTTCTCCTTTTGCATTCGCACCTAAAACTAAAACTTCTTTTCTTTCAAAATTCAAAACACTTTAAAACTATTAATGAGAATCATGCTTTTGCTTAGTACGAGAAATGATAAGCGGGTCTCTTCTCGATCTTATTGTTCTTCATCTCAAGCATAGGTGTGGTTCAATTCTCAAAGACTCCTTTCATGGCTAAGTAGGAAAATGGCTAATATCTCTCTCTTGAGGTCGATCAGTCATCATCTACAACAAAAATACAAAAAACAAATTCAAACCATTATGTGCGCTCGAGCACCACTTCTCTCTAAAACCCTTTTCAGGTAAGGACATGATTAATTTACTTCTGTGCCAACGCATAAGTCTCCAAAGGTCGAGCTGCGGCAGAAGGCGGAATTAACTTCGTCCACAAAAAAAACATCTACAACAAAATATAAACCAACTCAAATCTTTTGTGCGCTCGAGCACCTTTCTTAAAAAACCCTTTTCAGGTAAGGACACTATTAATTTACTTATGTGCCAACGCGTAAGTCTCCAAAGGTCAAGCCGCGGCAGAAGGCGGAATTAACTTCGTCCACAAAAAACACAAACAAACAAAAACATATGAGCCGAACTACGGTAGCTTTGATTCCTCAAAAAGGATACGTAGGCATTGGGGTAGGGCCCAAGCGAGCACAATTTTATTTTCCCTACATTCTTTTTCTCCTTTATTTTGCATGCATTCTTCCCTTAGCAGTAATAAACAGTAAGCATAGATTAAACACACCCATAAGATAGATAACAAGAGTGGATACCTTAGAGTACTACGGGTGTGTGGGGTGCTAATACCTTCCCCTCGCGTAACAGACTCCCTTACCCGATCTCTCGGTCGCAAGACCGTGACTTCTCCCTTCTCAGGTTTTCTCGATATTTACCTTTCCCTACATGTGGGATAAAAGACGTTCGATGGCGACTTCATTGTTTGATGATTTTCAGCCGGTTGTTTCAGCTGGCGACTTCACTGGGGAATAGGTCGACCAAATGCTGGTCCATCCCGGAGTCGCTCCTAGCTCTTGCTTTCTTTTCTTTGGGTGTTTATTTTTTATTGCTTTCAGTTTATTCACTCATTCTTGAGTATACGTATGCATTGCATTTTACTGTTTTCCATATACCACTGATGTACTGGATTTGCTTCTTGTTTGGGTTGGGATGCTACTATTGAGGTAAAAGGCCCAGTACCCAGGCCAGAGTGCACTAGGACACCTAGGAATAGAGTGGGGGCATGACGGCTATAGGACGTGGTCCGATTAGTGCAGTCATGTCATATACCACGCTCGGATGAGGTTCAAATGAATTACTATCGGCACCCACGTCTGTGGGCAAGCCCATAGCACTTTCAGGCGAACCCGTGATCTTCGAGTTACCATTATCTTACCCTGACCTAGTTTTCACCCGTGAGTGGGGAGGGAATTTCTATCACAAGTACATATGGTGACTATGTGCAGATGGTTACTCGTGTTTAGATGGTAACTATGCTCAGACAATGACTACTGGTTCTGATGGCTATATTCTGGATTTCTGTTATGACTTTATGCAGATGCTATATCCTGTTGGTAACCGTACGGTTCTCAGATTTATTTTCTGAGTTCCTGACTTGTTTACCTGGAGTTTCATTCAAGCCTTCAATCTTGGTATTCCCAGCATATTCAGAAAATGCTCAACAGTATCCGATGTTCCAGAAGCCTTGACCCCGTACAATGGGAGATCCACAGGGTACTTGGTTCTTATATGTGCAGAAGCTATGTCGGACCTTTGATCTGATGATACTCATATGGTTCAGAACAGTGCAGCAATCCTATTTAGAAATGACGGAACCTTGATCCTCTTTGATCTCATGCCTTTGCATACATAACATGACTAACTACATGCTTAACATACATGTTTTGTTATCTCCAAGGAATCACATTTGCAAGTCTTATACTAAACTCTTCCATCCCTTACTTGCGTAAAATCAAAATCAAAGCGTGCAAATTCCTTGGAAATGACAGAACATGACATGGCATTCATTCATACACCCCATGCATATTCATGCATTCATAGCAGGTACCCGAAGATTGGGGATTCTTATTCAGACTTGGGGTTCTATTCAAAGGTTCAACCTGATTTCTCTCCGCACATGCTCAGAGACCAGTTACATGCAAGCTTTGGCTCGTAGTCAAAAATTTCTTCAAGCAGGAAGATAATGGATCAAATACTCAGATAAGCCAGGTCATGGAAACTCTGATGGTGATGTCTATTATTTCTTTAATACATGATATGCTTGGGGATGCATATTATACTGGGGCACCTGGCCAATCGATTGAAGAAGGTATGTCATCCAGAGACCAAGTCCAAGACTGGATCAATTCAGAGACTGTTGTGCTCACATCAAATCTAAAAGGGGATTCTCTCGCACACTCGAGCTTCAAGACTACAGAAAGTCATCAGAATCAGCAAGTCCATACGGAGTCAAGTCTCCTCAACAATGGCAATCATTGGTTTCTTTTACTGCATTTTCATTTGCATTCTTGCTTGTTTGTTTAAACATTGCTTGTATATAGAAACTTGTCTACTTTTGAACGAAAATCTTAATGCAATAAACATGCTTGTCTTGAAGCGTTCATTTCATTTTTACTCACCCATTCATTATCACTATTTAAATATTTTACTTGCATATTGATGCCAAATTCCCTAGTCTTATGCTTAGGTAAAGATTCAAAGGAGGATGACGATAATCTGAAAACACAAAATCTTTGGTTGGTATGCTTTTGAGTAAGACCCTGTTGACGATGTACAGGCCTTGTTTCAATCCCTAAACACCAGAGATATAAGGGAGATAGACCCTCGTCAACCCCTCATAGCCTTCGAAGTAGGAGTTTTCTTTCTATTCAGAAAAAACCCTCATTTCAACCCTGGGGCGGGTAGTGTTCAGCCAATCTGATCAAGCATTCAGAACTCATCAAGAGTGTGCATCCAAGGATACAACAATGGTTATCCATCAAAAAGTTGAGGAAATTCAAAACCATAAAGGTTAACCTTCATCTATCAGCAACGTGCATCAATTAACAATATCTCAATGGATATCTCTCGCACATCAGGAGGTCGACAGATGACGATACAACAATGGCTATCCTGCATCTACTAAAGACTCAGGCAGTCACGATCACTTCTGACAAATCAAAAGCAACACAAAGATCAATGACTTGTTCAAAATGAAAAAATACGAATAAAAAAAGAAACAAAAATCCCTGCTAAGTCAAAACTTGAAAACAAGTCGCTTAGACAAAAAATTGGGGCATCCCGCTGGACTTCCAAATCGAAATTCAAAAGAATTTGTCCAGGCAAAAATTAGGGAAAGCAAGAAAGAAATTGAAAAGCCTAAAAGGCGAGAAAAGGATTACCAACGAAAATCCTCATCAAAGAACAAAGTCGTCTGATCAGACACCAAAGGCAAAGAAGTTAGTGACTGTCGTGTCCAAGAAACCACAGTGGTTCCTCAACTATCGCAAACTCTTCTAGAGAGATGAATGCTTATATCAGGTCAACTGAACGTAGGAATGGAGAACATCATGGAGAATGGGTGAGCACCAAATAATTTTGAGCCTTAAATCCTTTTTTCTAAAACCGTGAACCAGGCCACGTTACAACCCTTTCAAAGTCCTAATTAAAGCATGGGTCAATTCGAAAGCATGCTAAAACGAGATAGCGTTTAACTGACTCCTA